GACTCAGAGACCACATTTCCTGCAGAGTCTCCTCCTGGGTCACACCCACACGTGCCTCCTGAAGGATGGGCTATTCCACCCACAGGTCCCTCCCCGGCCCCTCTGACCCCTCAGACTCATGCACATCTGTGCAGGGAGGAGACTGCTCTGGGGTGAGCCAGACGGTCTGTGCGTGTGGCTGTCCCTGCTGGTGCCAGGGACCTGGGTCCCCCAGGTGCAGGTTTGTTCATTACCCCAGGCCCGTGCGTGAGTGGGGACATCTGGACACGGGGCAGCCCTGCCCACTCTCTCCCTCTCCCTTCCCAATCTCATCCTAGAGAAGGCAGGGTTTTTAGGAGAGTATGGTAATATAAAATAATTGCACCACATTGGTGGTAATATTACAAAACTTTTATCAAAACAAGATTATAGATCAGGTTATGTGGTAGTAAAAAATGTTGACTTCTGTTGAGTGATTTAAATACACATTTATAATCAAAATAATGTTCTCCCTGATGGCGCAAGTTAATAAGTCTCAGCCTTATGAAACTACGGAAGCCTCTGCAGCACTAGTTCAATCCCCGGGCAGGGAGCTACACACATGGTCCAGCAGACCTCTCCTATCTCCCAGCTCCTCCCTCCAGCAGTGTATTTCAGTAGATCTGCCTGTTCTGCTCCCTGCTCTGTCTTGGTTGAATCCTGTCAACCTCCACATCTCTGGCTGGTACCCCAGGTCTTGTGTGCATAAACAAGTAAATCTTTAAAAAAAAATAAAATGGATATAATAACTTGACATATTTCCTCCAGGCCCTGTTTAAATACTGTGACTTTATTTTACAATTATACTGACAATCCTTGCGTGATTGGAGTTGGGGAAAAATCCCAAGTTCATAAATACACAGATGTCCCTGCCAGCATCACTTTAGTATCACAGCTATTAAGCTGTCGACAATGTTGCTGTAAAAGTTATTGAGTTTCTGGGCCTCCCCTGGTGGCGCAGTGGTTGAGCGCTGGGCTGCGAGGCTGCCCGCAGCCTCTGCAGCGCCGGTTCGTTCCCTGGCCGCCGGCGAGGGTCCCACCAAAAAAAAAAAAAAAGTTACTGAGTTTCTACTTGACTCATATCTGTCATAATATTTAAGACAAAAAGACATAACACTCTGAAGTTAACATTAGGTATTGTTTTTAATTTTCTGGAATTTTTTTGTTACCTTCTAATTCCATTAATTGTTCTATTTTATTCAGTACCCAAAACACACTGAGTGTGCTGAATGGTAAAATCCCAGTTAAGAAGCAATAATAGTCACATATCCCATAAATCAGAATCTTCTAATATGATCAATGTATTAAAAGTCAGTATCTCTGAACATCTTAAATTTGAAAAGAATATGTTTTCTCTCATTGAGTCTCACCCAGGCTGACAGGACAGTGGGACATGACGACTTGGGCCCCGTCAGCATTAGTTTTCATGATTTACAAAGTGAATAGTTTAACTATGGCGCTTTCTCAAGGCTAAAATGAAGCTTGAATCTGAAAACTCTCAAGTGTGAGTGGATTCTCCCCTGCATACGGTTAGGGGGCAGATACCTGCAGTCTGGGGGGAAAGTTCCTGCTGCCATGTCGAGTCTCCCCCCTGAGGTTGTCCCCATTGCGTGGATAGAGGGCATCCCAGCCTCGCATTCCATGGTTGGTGCCCGTGCGGATGCCTCTGAGCACTCACAGGATGTTCCACCCCATCCTGCGCGGCCTCATGGACAGAGCAGGGCCTCAGGGCTGGGCTATTTGAGCTCTGGAGCTGGCGTCCGGGTGTTGGACACTGTCCAGATTCCAGCCCTCAGTGACCTTCCTCCAGAGGAAAAGTGCCATGTTTACTTGACTGTGTTAATTGGAGCATCCTGCAGTGCATCTCAGCGAGTAATTATCACACTCAGTGTGTAGATGTGATTTGTCTCTGGCTCAAGCCTCTGTGGAAGTGAATAGAAAAATCCTCTCTTCCAGGTTCCATTCCCTACCTGTCATGTCCACCGTGGTGAGCACCATCAGTAATAACAGTGACCTGAGTCCCTGTCTAGACAGCTGGACAGTCGCCCATCACCCACCGTGTGCCCTTCATGGAGAGGCCCAGGGCATGGGCGTGAGGGGGATGCGGGAAGGCCTGAGGTGGGAGGGAAGGGACATGGAGAGAGGCAGGAGGGAGCCAAGTGAGGGGGATTGGGGCGAAAGACAAGAGGATGTCCAGCAGGAGTGACCATGGGGGTCACAGCCCTCTGGAAAGAGAAACTTCACTCATCTCTGAAATTGTGTATCCCTTTGGTTCTTTTCCACCACAGCACCTGTCACTGCACTTACATTAGAATTGTATTTTTGTTGGGATAATTTGCTTTTAATCTTGAGGAAATAATATTTTAGGGTTTCTGCTCATGGTGTCATATACTTAGGTTTGCTGCATGACTATGGTGACGTCACACATTTGGAAACAGGTGTTTATCTGCTTGAGTTTATTCTTCTGTAGGGCATGGGTCAGTGACCTGCTTCATTCTTTTGCGTGTGTCTGCTTTTCCCAGCATCATTTCCCCACTTTCCTGTTTTAGTGCGTGCTCTGGCTCCTTTGTGGTAGAGTCACTGTCCATCCTGATGAGGGTGGATTTCTGGGCCCTCATTATATTCCAGAGGTCTGTCTGTTTTTGTTTCAGTACCATGCTGTTTTAATTATTAGAACTTTATTGTATGGACTGGAGTCTGAAAGTGTGCTTCTTCCTTTCTTACTCATTTTTGTCAAGACTGTTTTGGATATTTGTCGTCTTTTGTAGTTCCATATGCAGGCTCTTCAGCAGTTTGCTCAGGGGAGGCGTGGCCAGAGCCGGCTTCAGTGGGCCTGATGCTGCGTGTACTGAGCACTTCAGGGCATCTGGGCCGGGGTGCAGGGGCCTCACTGCCAAGCTGAGACATGGGTCCAGCAGCTGCGTCTGGGCTCGGAGCCACCCTGATGACAGGGAGTACCCTGGGACTGCTCTCCTGTGGCTCATGCCAGGCTGGGTACACCTGGCATGTCAGACCCAGGCCTAGTGCCCAGCCAAGCAACCATGCCCTGGGCTTGCACCTGTCGGGCAGGGCCCCTGGAACACCGAGACTGGGAAGAAGGACACTGAGGACTCATGGAAGCTGAGGAAACTCTAGTTACTCAAGGCCAGCTCTGAGGTCATCGGTGGCATGACTTTGGGGGACCCCCTTCTGCAGCAGGAGGCACAGAGCTTTGCCCTTCATCTTCTGCCAGATCTTCTTCCTCCTGCTTCTGCCCACGGTGCTGACCCTGAGGTGCAGGTCACTGTCCTCCTGCACATGTCCAGGAGTCCACCTGCCCCCAGCCGAGGTGTCATCACTTTCTCTTTCTCCACCCATCAGTGTGGAACAGGCAGTGTCCCCCTTGCTGGGCACTCCCGGTGGGCACGGGTCCATCATTCTCCCTGCCTCCTCCCACAGAGGTTGGTTCTTTTGAGTTCATTTCCTGTGGACACCACCCGCCACACCCTCGTTGCGTCCTTGACTGAGCGACCGTCCCTGAGAGTGGGTGCCGGGGGGACCACACTGGCCATCAGGGGACAGCCACCTCTGAGGCTCACTTTCCAATCCCAGCTGAGGTTTGGTCTGAGGATGGTCACTGTGGCATCACCCACCTGCTGGGCACCTGTCCCGGCCCTGGCGCGTCTGACTTTACTTTTCCCACGAGCCGCACGGACATCAGCTGGCACCACAAGGAACAAACACATGGATTCCTGATGAGGTGTTGGAACAAGTCCCTCCGCCCTGGCTGAGCGCGCCTCGGGCTCCAGGCACCGGAGACCTCCCCCTGGTCTCTGCCAAGCCGCCGTCTCAGGACCCCGGGGCCAGGCCCGAGCCAGCAGCTGTCCAGGGAGAGTGGCCGGGCCCAGCGCGCTCGGGAGGAAGAAAATGTCAAGATTGTCTGTTTGAGTGTGAGCAAGTTTCTACTTGATGGACGCGAGAGTGTGGGGAGATGCAGTTTAGGGTTCCACATTTCTGCTTTTGAAATCATCTCCTTTATGCTTTTAAATGCACCCCACGGTCTCTTTTCATCCACGATAAAGCAAAACTTCTTCCATTTTGTCTCATTTGTTGTTTGTGTGACAGAGGAACGATCAGCCGGCTACTCTGAGGAGACAGGGGCAGGGTCCCCCAAAGTCATGCCACCAACTGCCCACCATGCCCACCCGTGTCTGTGCAGGCCACGCTGCGGGGCTGCGGGTGGGGACCCTCACTTCCCTGACACAGCCGTGGGTTCCGTGGGGCTTGGTGTGGGGTGGGCCCCGGGTCAGGGTCGGGGGCAGCGGGGCGCACTGGCGAGCGCGACAGACTGCGGCCGGGTGGGCAGCCTGCGGCCCCCAAGGCTCGCTTGTGTCTCCCCGGGGCATCGTGATTCTGAACACCACACGGTCAGCGGTTTCTCAAATCACCTTTGACCAGTAACCATCCACACTGACTGACAGTGGCCCCGGACGCCTCATGGAGCCGAGCCCCCCGGGAGAGGACACCCCCTTTCCTCCTGCTCAGCAGGCAGCCCAGGAGACAGGGGCAGGCAGGGTCAGCGCCCGGGCGGGGTGTCCTGTAGGGGCTCAGGGAGAAGGGGGCAGGGGCTGGGGAGCTGCTCGAGGGTGTTGTGAGAACCCGCGTGGTCACCGAGACTGTTGTCATGTCTCCGTCGATGGGGAATGTCCGTCCTTCCCTCTGTCCTGGCTGAGCAGCGCCCAGCCCTGGGTGCCCACGTGAGTCGCAGCAAACAGACTCAGGTGCTCTGTCTCCTGGGAGGCCTCAGTGGGGAAGACAGCGGGACAGCAAGCGGGATGAATGAAAAGGTTCAATTTGCAACAGTCAGACGCCGCAGGAAATGAACTGACAGAACTAATTCAGGATACTCAGAGTATATCCAATATTAAAAATCAAAAAGAAGCATCAGGAATGCAGGAGACATTATGCAGCACGAGTCAGCCCCTGTGACTATCGAGGCATGTTCACGTCCTGCAGCTGTGAGTCAGGTAGACGCGCTCAGGAGCCGAGAAGGTTTCAACCTGAATAAAAAGTGTGAGAGGCTGCAGGCTCCTGAACTCCTGGAGGAAAATATCTCTGGGGGTTTGAGGCGTGTTGGATTGGGGTGTCTCTTTCTGTTGCTGGTTTTGTAGGTTTTGCACGTTTTGTACACCCACCCTTGTCAGATGTGTGATGTGCACAATTTTCTCCCAGTGCAGGGGCCCATTTTGGGGATGGCTTTTCTGAGGCACAGAAGCTCTCTAGTGTGGGGGGGTCACTTGTTCCTATGTGCTCTTCTTCGCAGGTCCTTGGCATGTGTCCCCAATTTCATCTGTGGGGTGAGTATGCAGTGGGCAGTACCTGTGTGTTCTTGCTGGTATTTTAAGGGTTTGTCTAATGCAAATTTTTAATTCATTCCAAATTGTTCTAATAATAAGGAAAATAGAAATCCAAACTGTTGTCACTTGTGAGAAAGGACCAATCAAGAGAATGGACACAGCAAAAAGGTGAGGGAGGGAGAGAAAAGGCCTCTCACCTCTGCTGGGAATGGCATGGAGATATCTTCAGACAATAACAACATGACAACCACAGGATGGAGCAACCTCATCCGGGTATTTGTCCCAGACGCGCAGACTCTACAGTGCAGACCATACACACCTGTGTTCACAGCAGCACCGTCCACCATTGCCGGCCATGGCCCCAACCCAAGTGCTGTGGACAGAGGAGTGAATATATAATGTGTGTCCACACTTAATGGAATACCACACGGCTATTGTGAGGTGAACTAGTGTCCTTAGGGACCAAAGGTGGACCTTGAAGAGCGTATGCTAGTAATATATGTCAAAAAGTGAAAGATATTGGCTGGTCTCACCCATCTGTGGATTATAATATAAAAAGTCAACAATTAAAATATTGTAGTGGCAAACAGCAAAAGGAAATGTTGGACTGAGTGCAAAAATTTGCTCTTTACCAGACAGAACAGGGGAGGAGAGTAGGAGTGTGGACAGAGGGGGCAGACACTGCAGGGCATTTAGTAGATTCTGAGTGGACGCTTGTGCATGGTGGGGAGTGAAAAGTGACCCATGGTGAAAACAGTAAAAAGTGAAAATGAGTGTCCTCCTTAATAAGAACAAATAACAAGTTAACATGATGTTGGGATGAAACACTCATGGAAAGATCCCTTCTCACAGACACTTACTGGATTTGTTCAAGGAATAACAGAAAATGCATCAACAGGAATCTGATCAGGGAATGACGTCATATCCCAAGTGGATGGAGACTTTGATCTCATGTTTCTTTTTTTAAGATTTATTTATTTATACAAGAACTGGGGTACAGTCAGAGGCACGGGAGGGTGAAAGAATTCACCAGAGACAGAGTAGGGAGCAGAACAGGTAGATGGACTGAAGACACTGCTGAGGGGAGCAGTGAGGAGACCTGAGAGGTCTGCCACGCCATGTGGGTTTCTCCCTGGCCAGCCGGGAATCAAACCAGCACTGCAGAGGCTGTGCACATCTTCACAGTGCGGCACTCAACCCGATGCACCACCAGGGAGGCCTTGTGCTCTCATACTATCACTGAAACGAATATTACTTTGAGTGATTTTCTAACTCAGGTTTCATTCTGAAATTTGAATGGACGAGTCATGTCTTGTGATTAACTACATTTTATTATCATAAATAGTTTCATGGACAAAATGTGCTCATCGGTCAGGAGAGTTTGGAGACAAAGTGACCTGCTCCGGAGAGGAGGACCATCACCCCCAGCTCACATTCTCAGTGTTAGGGGAACAATATGAGAAACTCCGGTGTGCAGTGCAAATGTGTTAGATTATAAAAAAAAAAAAAAAAAAAAAAAAAACTGCAACTATACTGTGCTTTAGTTTGCATAACGTTTTACATAATAAAAAATAATATCATTCCCAAGTGGAAGAAAAGTGAACTTAAGTGTAATCTACAAGAAGGTGGAGAAGAAGACCTGGTAAAGGATCAAGATACAATCTGGAAAAAATAAGGGAACCTAAAAATAAACACAATGACAAGTTACAAATTATAAACTTTTAAGTAGAAATGTAGTTCTTCAAAGATAATTGATATAACTTTACTTTTGAAAACACCACATCAAGGGAGTTCAGTCACATTGGCATCAAAACAGACATCATAGAAATTAATATTCCATCAATTACAAGTTTCAGTCATAGATTCCTACTAACAAAGGATACATCCATCCAGCACCTCTGGCAGAATCAAGTGTGGTTTCCTTTTGTCCTTTGAGCAGGAACAGGAACTTTTCCTAGAGGAATCGTGAGGGATGGGGCCCCACTCAACTGTCTCCCCTGCCATCAACGAGGACAAGGCCCTCGGTGGAGACACATACAGGCTGTGGGAACCGAGCCCCAGGACTGGGGTCCCGTGGCCATGTGGTCCAGAGGACAGACCCTTTTACCACTGCTTCACATTATGTAAATGTTGGTGAATGTGAGTTCTAGAACATTCTTTCTACACCAAATACAAGTTTTTAACTATGGGCTGGATTCAGTTATGAACATCACACAGGGAGGGCTTGGGAAAAAGATTGCAGTAATTAAGGAAACAAGAGTATAGTGAGGATTATGAGAATATGATTTTGTGACAAGGGGATAATCCTAATGCAAGAAATCTATACTTATAAATGGTGACATGTAAGAGTTAGGGGGGAAAAGCTGAATTAATGAGGGTTTATAATTATAGATTGTGATATCTCACATCTTGGAGTATTGGCCCTTCATCAGTTTCCCCACAGCTGACTTCATCGCTTGGTTCCTCAGACTGTATATAATGGGATTAAAGGTGGGGGGCACTACCATGTAGAACATAGAAATGACCATGTCAGACATGGATGGAGTCCCAGAGGTCAGCTTCAGATAAACAAAGCATGCAGAGAAGAAATACAGTACCACAACCACAGGTGGGGAAGGCAGGTGGAGTAGATTTTGGCCTTACCTTCTGTGGATGGGATCTTCCTGACAGCACGGAAGATGTGCACATTGGAAATGATGATGAAAATAAAAGAGCAGATACCCAAAACCACACTAATGAGAATGGGGACAAGTTTGTTCATTACATTTACTGAGCAGGAAATAGCCAAAAACTGGGGGACATCACAGAAGAACTGGTGGACCAGGTTGGACCCACAGTAGGACAAGGAGAAGGTTCCAGCTGTGTTCATCACAGCATGGCGACCCCCACCCAGCCAGGACACAGCTTTCAGGTGCACACACCTGTCCCTGCTCATGATGGCATCATAGTGCAAGGGGTGGCAGATGGCAGCATAGCGGTCAAGGATCATCACCGTTAAGAGGGTCATCTCTTCACCTGCCAAAAAAATCATCAAGAAGACCTGGACGACAGAGCCCGGGAGCGAGATGGAGCTGTTGTGCCTCAGAGAGTTGGCAATGGACTTGGGGACCGTGGCTAAAATGAGGGAGAGGTCCAAGAAAGACAAACCCCTCAGGAAGAAGTACATGGGGGTGTGGAGGTGCCAGTCCAGGGTCGTGATGATGATGATGAGCCTGTTCCCCAGCAGAGCGCACAGGTAGACCAGGGAGAAGAGCAGCGGGTGCAAGATGGCCATGATCCCATGGGTGAGGAACCCTTGGAGGACGAATTCTGTCACAGCTGTGAGATTGGTGAACCCTGGAGACATCATCTGCATAAAAGTGAAGAGAAACAAAATCTTAATTCTTCCAATATTGAAAATGGAATGGGTTATCAATACAAGATAACAATTGAATGTATTTTCTACATAATTATTCCTTCCAGTTCTATGGACACTAATATCATCTATGTCTGCTGTTTTATTCAACCCATTTATTACCACCTCCTGTGAATATGTCATTATAACATTCTCCACATGAGTCCTGAAAATTGATGAAAACTGAAAATTTCATCTGTCCCCTATAAAACTTGAACAAATTAGAATCTCGTATTTGTCAAAAATCTCAACAGAGCTCCCACGCTATGCTCCTCGCCCCACTAGCGCTGCTCCCATCTCCTGTTCAGGTCCCAGCATCTCAACCCAGCACACCTCCCAGAGGTTGTCCAGGGCACAGAGGACACGAGAACATGCCCAGCCCCTCCCCACCCTAGAGAGCCTGTGTCTGCTCCTCCAGCACAGCCCTGGTTTGTGGAGGCCCCCACAGTGACAGGTGAGCAGGGAGATGGGGTGTGCGGGTCCCTGTTTTCCTGCTCCCCAGAACCCGACACTGTCATGGAACTGAATGATCTGGGCTCAGCGTCCCCGTGCAGCGTGTCCTGATGCCTCCTCTGTCAGATCCCTGCCCCTGTGGCCTCACTGCTGATACCTCGTCCTGTCTCCTAGTCTCCTCATATCCCTGCAACTGATTCCCCCACATCTGAGGACTCAGAGACCACGTTTCCCACAGAATCTCCTCCTGGGTCACACCCACACGTCCCTCCTGCAGGATGGGCTCGTCCACCCCTGGGTCCCTCCCCAGCCCCTCTGTCCTCCTCAGACTCATGCACATCCGTGCAGGGAGGAGGACACTCCGGAGCTGAGCCAGACAGTCTGCGTGTGTGGCTGTCCCTGCCGGTCACAGAGACCCAGGTCCCCCATGTGCAGGTTTGTTCCTCACACCATGCCCGTGCGTGAGTGGGGACATCTGAACACGGGGCAGCCCTGCCCACTCTCCTCCCCCTCCCCAATATCACCTTCTCCCACCTCTGTGGGGTGACGGAGGGTCAGGCCCTGGGGAGGTAGGATTTTTTGGGAAATATAGTGTACAAAATAATTGCAGCACTTTGGTGGGAATAATTCCAAAATTTAATAAAAACAAGAAAATAAATCAGGATATGTGGAGGTAAAGCGGGTATATCTGGTTATTAATAATGTTGACATCCATTGTGTGACTTTAAATACATATTTAAAATGGATAAAATATCATTTGTCATATATCTCCTCCAGGCCCTGTTTAAATACTGTGACTTTATTTTACAAAATCACTAATAATCCCTGAGTGATGGAGTTGGCAAAAAATCCAGAGTTCATATCTACAAATAGTCACATGTCCCTACCAGCCTTACGTTCGTGTCAGAGCCATGAATGGGTCAACATGTTGCTGACAAGTTATTGAATTTCTACTTGGCTCAAATCTGTCATCATGTTTAGGAGAAAAGGCATATCATTCTGAATTTAACAGTAAGTATAATTTTTAATTCCCTCTGGAATGTCTTCATCACCATCCAATTCGATCAATTGCTGTGATCTTATTCAGCACCCAAAACACCCTGAGTGTACTGATGCTACATCCCAGGTATGAAGCAAAAATGGTCTCATCTCCCATAAGTCAAAATCTTTTAATATGCTCAATGTATTAAAAGTCAATATCTTTGACCATCATAAATTACAAGAGAATATGTTTTCTCTCACTGAGTTTCACCCAGGCTGACAGGGCAGTGGGACATGACAACTTGGGCCCCGTCAGCACTAGTTGTCATGATTTACAAAGTGAATAGTTTAACTACGGTGCTTTCTCAAGTCTAAAATGAAGCTTGACATCTAAAATTTTCCAAGTGTGAGTGGATTCTCCTGTGCAAACGGCTGGGGCAGATACCTGCAGTCTAGGGGGAAAGTTCCTGCTGCCATGTCGAATCTCTCTCCTGAAGTTGTCCCCATGGTGTCCTGGCCTCTCACTCCATGGTTGGGGCTCGTGGGGACGCCTCTGAGCACTCACAGGATGTTCCATCCCATACTGCACCACCTCATGGACAGAGCAGAGCCTCAGGGCTGGGCTATTTGAGCTTTGGAGCTGGTGTCCGTGTGTTGGACACTGTCCAGATTCCAGCCCTCAGGGACCTTCCTCCAGAGGGACAAGCACCCTTTTTCAGTTCACTGTCTTAATTGGCGTTGTCCTGTGGCACATCCTAGTGATCATTAGTGCACTGAGTTGTCAGAGTCAATTTCCTTAGTTTTTGCACCAGTGAGGACAGGACCTGGTCCCCCCTCAGCCCCATCAAACCCCTGACCGCTGCAGGGACCGGGGTGCTCCTGTTGTCATAGCCAGGATGAGCCCCATCCACAGGGAGCAGGAAAGTCGTCGCCACCCCCTTTTGCCATCCTGGTCCTGACAGGTGGGGGGAGGCACTGAGGGGCAGAGTGGGGGACAGGATGAGCAGGACAACGAGCAGACAGCCCAGACCGGGACGAGATGGGGCAGAAGCCAGAATCCCGAAGGATGAGTTGTTTTGCCGCAACAAGATCCTTGTCCTGACGCTCCTGCCGGCCCCTTTAGTGACTGAGAGTCTGACTTGCTGCTGACTTTGCAAGGACAATGCCTTCACGTGGACAATCTGGGCCCGGGTGTGCGTGGGGAGGACACGGCTGGGCTGGGGTCCCCGGGGGGCTGAGGGCACCGGCGGCAGGGAGCCAGGAGTCCAGGTCCACTTGCACTGCCCAGGCTGCTGCCTCAGCTGCCTGAGCCCAGGCCAGCAGCCGGGGGGAATCCGTGACCAGCCACGGAGGGGTAGGACAGGGCTCAGGGGAGCTGAACATGGTATGTGAGGAGCCTCCTCCAGACCAGCTGCCTACGGGAGGTCACTCCCTGGTTGGGAGCCAACCAGAGAGTGGTCAGCGCAGACCTGGCCACTCGGGGTAGCTGCGTCGACTGTGAGGCCCATGCAGGAGGGACACAAAGTGACCAAAGTCCGTTTCCTCCCCTGACAGGAGTGACCCCTTCATGTGCGGTCCCAACTGGGCCCCCGGGATGGGAGGGCACACAGAACAAGTCCTAGAACTTCCCCGAGGAATGTTCACCTTTGATTGAATTGTGAATATTTGTGCCCAAAGGGCTCTGTGAGGTGGACGCAGCCACGAGGACAACACAGGGGTGGTGGGGTCATGAGGTGTCTGCCCAGAGCCTGGGGCTGGCCGAGGCCTGGGTGAGGGACACATGCTGTCCAGCATGGACGAGCCATGGCAGCAGACGGGAGGGTGCCTGGCGCTTCTCCCAACTCCCGGGATCCCCGCGGGCGCCTTTAGTAGTACAGACACTGCGGCCCCGTGAGCCCACCAGTGCTCCCTCATGACTCCCCCTTGTCCTCACAGTCAACACATGCCTAGCCCTGGAGGATCCTGCCTCTGGGCACTGTGACCCCCGATGCTCTCGACCCCCGAGACCACCCAGGAGACAACACCCACTTCCTCCTGCTCTGACTGGATGGTCAAGGGGCAGGCGGGGTCAAGGCCAGTAAGGGTATCCTCTTGGCCTCAGGGAGAAGGTCGTTGGGGGCTGGAGGGGCTGGGGTGCTGCTCGCGGGCGTTGCAGGGATCCTACGTTCCCACTTAAATTCTTCTGGCTGAAACACCTCAGCCAATGAAGAGAATGGTTAGTCCTTCCTGCTCACCCTGGATGAGAAAAGCTTCTCAGCCGCAGGAGCACATCCCCCACATTTAATCTCTCCAGACACAGACTCTAGTCTGTCCACCGTGTGGACCCCGGTGTCCAGCACACACTGCGGGAAGGGGACATGACAGAAAGTGTGGGCTGAGTGTGAGGAGCTGAAGTGCCGTCATCATTGGCAGCTCTCAGAGATCCCAGGAAGCAGCAGGACAGAGTCAGTCCAGCTTATTAGAAGTTAACGCTGAATAATGACACAACCAAGCCCTGGACTCCGCTGGCCCTGCAGGATGAGACCATCCCAGGACGTGAACAAACACATCCGTGTGGGGGATCAGGACGCGCCAGCGAAGCTTGGAGCAGGGTCTGGAGCCTGAATCCACCCTGCCCGTGACTCTGCGGGCACCGGCACGTCCTCCTTAGAGACTGTCCCCTTCGGCCTTGGCCCCTGTCTCGACTGAGGTGCTGCTCCCTATTGTGGTGGGGACGCACTTGTGTGGATGGACACTCACCGTGTCAGTAGTGTGGGTGCACATGGCTTCTCCCCGCGCAGGACCTGTGCTCACAGCGGTTTCTGAGGCCCAGGAGCGCTCTAGTGTGGTGGGACCACTTATTTATTACCCTTTGGGTTCCCTGTCCTTGGACTTGTGGAAGCAGGAGTGTGTTCAAATGGGTGTTCCCCTGGAGTGTGAGAGGGGCACCATACACACAGAGGGGCAGATATGAAGCCCCAAAATAGGACAGCAAGGAAGTGACAAAGAGCATATCCTTTAAGTGGCAATTATTAATTACTATGTCCCCATGTCACCCCACTCGTGAGGTCAAATCCTCTTCTCAACAGAGTCTAGAGGCTTCGCTCAAAGCCAAGACAGAAAGTGTGTAAAGGCCGTGGCCTGCGAGTGATGGAGGCCCAGGGGGGAGACACCTGCCATCAGGGTCTTTCACTAGAAAGATGAGTAACTTGGGAGACTTCCCCACACAGATTTTGTTCTGAAATCTCAATGGACTCTGTCTGGTGATTAACATACATTTTAAAGAATGTTAAAAAAAAAATCTTAAATGTCAAGAAACATACACTTTATGAGAGAAATATTGTCTGCACTGAGTCTGTTATGATCCATCAGGCGTGTTTGGAGACACTGTGTCCTGCTGCAGAGAGGACTCTGGAGGGAGGAGCATCACCCCAGCTCATGTTCTCAGGGTGGGTGAGCAGCCATGAGGCGCCGGTGTTTACAGCACAGAAGCTTCCGGAGAATAAAAATTTACAAATATTGCCGTGCTTTATTTTACATAATGTAGAAAGTGATACAATCCCCAATGTACCAGAAAGTGGGGAAGAAGACCTGGTACAAGACATCCACAAACAACCTGGAAAACTAAGAGAACCCCTAAAAATAAACACAACAATGAATGTCTTCAAAATTATAAAATTTAAAGGATAAAGCATAGTTCTTCAAAAATAATTCATATTTAAGAAAACCACACTCTCAAGGTGCTGTAAAAAGCAGAATGCCGTATAAATGAATATCAAATATAGGTTCAATCATAGATTCAGATTCTTTCAGAAACTTCCATCTGTCTCTGGGAGATTCATGTCAAGTGTAATTTCAACTTGAGCTTTGAGCAGAAGCATGAATATCTCTTAGAGGAAGTTGCCCCATCAGGAATCAGGAGGCATGGCGCCCACGCAGCTGTCTCCCCTCCCTCCACAAGGACAGGCCTCAGTGGAGACACACATAGGCTGTGGAAACCGAGCCCCAGGACTGGGGTCACATGACCCTGTGCTCCCGAGGACAGACCCCTAGCCACTGCCTGATTTCATGAAAATGTTGGTGATGTGTGAGTTCTAGAACATGCTTTCATATACCAGCCGTAATATTTAAAGAACAGAATTCATATCATGTATGCCACATAGATGGGTGTTTTGGAAATGGCTGCCTTATTTTAGGAAATAGAAGTTTGAAGACTAGAACAATGTTATAATTTGTCAAAGGAAATCTGTAATGAGAAGTCTTATTTTACTTTAGAGTAGTTAACTAGTAAATAGTTACACAGAAAATCTAAGTAACTGCTGGGTTCATAGATGTAGATGGTGTAATTAATGAAAACAATGATATCTCACATGATGATGCACTGGCCCTTCATCAGTCTCCCCACAGCCAACTTCATGGCTTGGTTCCTCAGACTGTATATGACAGGATTAAAGGTGGGGGGCACCATCGTGTAGATCATAGAAATGACCAGGTCAGACATGGTCACGTTCTCTGAGGTTGGCTTTAAATAAGCAGAGAATCCAGTACAGAGAAACAGCACCAAAACCAGCAGGTGGGGAAGGCAGGTGGAGTAGACTTTGGCCTTACCTTCTGTAGATGGGATCTTCCTGACAGCAGAGAAGATGTGGACATAGGAAATGACTATGAAAACGAAACAGCAGATACTCCAGACCACACTAATGAGAATGGGGACAAGTTTGTTCATCAAATTTCCTGAGCAGGAAATAGCCAGTAACTGTGGGACGTCACAGAAGAACTGGTGGACCACGTTGGACCCACAGAAAGACAAGGAGAAGGTTCCAGCTGTGAGCATCACAGCATGGAGACCCCCACCCAGCCAGGACACAGCTGTCAGGTGCATACACCTGTCCCTGCTCATGATGACGTCATAGTGCAGGGGGTGGCAGATGGCAGCATAGCGGCCAAGGCTCATCACTGTGAGGAGGCTCATCTCTGCACCTGCTGAAATAATTACCATAAAGACCTGGAGTACACAGCCCGGGAACGAGATGGAGCTGCTGTGCCTCACAGAGTTGGCAATGGACTTGGGGACTATGGCTGAGATGAGGCAGAGATCCGTGAATGACAGACTCCTCAGGAAGAAGTACATGGGGGTGTGGAGGTGCCGGTCCAAGGTGGTGATGAGGACGATGAGCCTGTTTCCCAGCAGGGCGCACAGGTAGACCAGGGAGAAGAGCAGTGAGTGCAAGAAGCCCATGGTCCCCTGGGTGGGGAACCCCAAGAGGACGAATTCTGTCACAATGGTGAGATTCATCCCCCTTGGAATCATCGTCTGTATAAATAAAAAAGAGGAAGAGCACATTGTCATATCTTCCAAAATTGAACACAAAATGTGTTATCAACATATAATGATCATGCAATCTATTTATGCTTTATGGCTATCTGAGCAAATTCATCTTTTATCTCATGTGAACTGGCTATTGATATATTGTCCATACACATGTCCATAAACTGGTGAAGAAATGAATTTTTAAGTGACCATGATAAAACCTAAATATCAGGTCTCTCAGTAAACAGAATTGACAGACCATCAGTGCCAAGTCATACCCAGACCTGCAACTCCCCCTCGTGTCCAGGCCCCAGCGTCTCAGCCCACCACACCTCCCAGAGGTTGTCCAGGGCACAGTCCCTGTGGACATGTGACCATGCCCAGACCCTCCCCAACCTAGAGAGCCTGTCCCTGCTCCTCCAGCACAGCCCTGGTCTGGGGAGGCCCCACAGTGACAGGTGCACAGGGAGTTGGGGTGTGTGGGTCCCTGTTTTCAAGCTCTCCAGGACCCGACACTGTCCTGGAACTGAATGATCTGGGCTCAGCGTCCCCGTGCAGCGTGTCCTGACACTTCCTTTGTCAGATTCCTGCCCCTGTGGCCTCACTGCTGACTCCTGGTCCATCCCCTCATCTCCCTGCACCTGACTTCACCACATCTGAGGACCCAGAGACCACTTATCCCCAAGAGTCTCCTCCTGGGTCACACCTACACGTCCCTCCTGCAGGATGGGCTCATCCACCACTGGGTCCCTCCGCGGCCCCTTTGTCCCCCTCAGACTCATGCACATCTGTGCAGGGAGGAGGCTGCTCCAGGGCTGAGCCAGACAGTCTGTGCATGTGGCTGTCCGTGCCGGTCACAGAGACCCGGGTCTCCCGGGTGTAGGTTTGTTCCTCTCCCCAGGGCCATGTGTGAGTGGAGACATGTGGACACGGGGCAGCCCTGCCCACTATCCTCTCCCTCCCCAACCTCATCCTGTCCCCTCTCTGTGGTGCTGATGGTGGGGCAGGCACTGGGGAGTGCAAAATTTTTGTAGAATATAGTAATATGAAATAATTGCATCACATGTGGTTGAATAATTCCAATATTTTAATAAAAACAAGAATATCAATCAGGATACGTGGTGGTGAAAAATGTTGACATCTTTGAGTGACTTTAAATACAAATTTAAAATGGTTAAAATAAATTGACATATCTCCTCCAGGCCCTGTTTAAATACTGCGACTCATTTTCCAATTACACTGACATCCTGGGTATGGAGTTGGGGAAAAATCTCAAGTTCACGTCCATAAATACACAGATGTCTGTGCCACCATCATGTTATTGCCAGAGCCATTAAGACATCAACAGTGTTACTGACAAGTTACTGAATTTCTACTTGACTCATATCTGTCATCATGTTTAGGAAAAAAGGCATAACATTCTGAATTGAACAATAAGTATAATTTTTAATTCCCTCTGGAATGTCTTCATCACCATCCAATTCTATTAATTGCTGTGATTTTATTCAGTGCCCAGAACACACTGAGTGTGCTGATGCTACATCCCAGGTATGAAGCAGAAATCATCACATCTCCCAGAAGTCACAATCTTCTAATATGCTCAGTGTATTAAAAGCCAATGTGTTTGAACATCGTAAATTACAAGAGAATGTGTTTTCTCACTGAGTCTCACCCAGGCTGACACAGCAGTGGGACATGACGACTTGGGCCCATCAGCATTAGTTGTCATGATTTACAAAATGAATAGTTTAACTATGGCGCGTTCTCTAGTCTAAAACGAAGCTGAAATTTAAAATATTTCAATTGTGAGTAGATTCTACCCTGAAAACGGCTGGGGGCAGATACCTGCAGTCTGGGGGGTAAGATCCAGATGCTGTGTCGAGTATGTGTCCTGAGGTTGTCCCCATGGTGCGGACAGAGGGTGTCCCGGGCTCTCACTCCATGGTCGGGGCTCGTGGGGACGCCTCTGAGCACTCACAGGATGTTCCACGCCGTACCACACCACCTCATGGACAGAGCAGGGCCTCAGGGCTGGGCTATTTGAACTCTGGAGCTGGTGTCCAAGATCCATCCATCAAGTGACTTTATTCCAGAGGGACAAGGGCAATTTTTTGTTCACTGTCTTAATTGGCGCTGTCCTGTGGCCCATTCCAGGGATCATTAGTGCCCCGATTGTTTCAGAGGTGATTTCCTTAGTTTTTATGCCTGTGAGGACAGGACCTGGTCCCCCCTCAGCCCCATCATCCCCCTGACCACCCCAGGGACCGGGGTGGCCCTGGCGTCAGAGCCAAGACGACCCCCTTCCACAGGGAGCAGGAAAGTTGCCGCCACCACACATGTGTCCTCCTTGGCCTGGCAGGTGGGGGGAGGCACTGGCAGGGGTGGGCGGGGCAGAGTGGAGGACAGGGGGAACAGGACAACGAGCAGACATCTTGGACGGGTGGTGACAGGGCAGAAGCCTGATCCCCCGAAGCCCAAGTCCCCTCCAGTGGCCTGAGAGTCTGACTTGCTGCTGACTTCACATGGACATCGCCTTCACATGGACAATCCAGTCCGGGGCGTTTGGTGGACACGGCCAGACTGGGGTCCCTTTGGGTGCCAAGGGCAGTGGGGGCGTGAAGCCAGGGATCCGGGTCCGCCTGTGCCTCCCAGGCTTCCGCCTTGGCTGCCCAAGCCCGGGCCAGCAGCCAGTGGGCCCTGGGGGCAGCTGTGCAGAGGGGAGGACAGGGCTCAGGGGCGCTGAGACACGAAGAGTACTAGCAGCCTCCTCCAGACGAGCGGCTGGCAGGAATCACTCTCTGGCGTCAGAGCCAACTAGACAGTGGTCAGCGCAGAGCTGGCCATGCCTGGGTAGCTGCGCAGACCCTGAGGCCAGCACAGGAGGGACACGAAGTGACCAAAGTCTGTTTCCTCCCCTGATGGAAAGTGACCACTCCATGTGCAGTCCCGGCTGGGCTCAGAGACGGGAGGACACACAGGACAAGTCACAGAACCTCCTCGACGAGTGCCTGCCTTTGGCTGAAATGTGGATATTTGCTCCCAAAGGGTCTGTGAGGTGGATGCGGCCCTGAGGACAGAGTGGGGGTGGGGGGACCAGGGGGCATCGCTCGGAGCCTGGGACTGGCTGAGGCTGGGGTGAGGGACACCCACTGCCCAGTGGGGACGGCCGTGGTCACAGACAGGAGGGCGCCTGGTGCTTCTCCCAACTCCAGGGATCCCCGTGGTCATCTTTAGGGGGACACACACTGTGGCCCCATCCGCCCACTAGTGCTCCCTTGTGTCCCCCCCTTGGACTCTCAGTCGACACATGACTGCCGCTGGGGGATCCTGCCTCTGGGAACTGTGAACCCTGATGCTCTGGACCCCCGATACCATCCGGGAGAAGACACCCACTTCCTCCTGCTCTGCCTGCGTGGTCAGGGCAGGCAGGATCAGCGCTGGGCAGGGTGTTCTTTAGGCCTCAGGAAGAAGGTCGTGGGGGCTGGAGGGGCTGGGGTGCTTCTCATGCGGGTTGCGGGGGATCCGCATCCTCACATAAACTCTTTTGGTTGAAATGCCTCAGCCAATGAAGGGAATGGTTAGTCCTCCATGCTCATCCTGGCTGAGCAAAGCTACTCAGCCACAGGAGCACATTCCCCACATTTAAGTCTCTCAGGCAGAGACTCGAGTCTGTCCACTGAGTAGACCCCAGTGTCCAGCACACGCTGAGGGAAGGTGACATGATGGAGAGTGACACTTGCGTGCATAGACACTTGCCCTTGTCAGGAGTATGGGGTGCACATGGCTTCTCCCCGCAGGGCCTGTGCTCACAGCGGTTTCTGAGGCCTAGGAGCACTTTAGTGTGGTGGGGCCACTTGTTTATTACCCTTGGGGTTCCTGCCCTTGAATTGTGGAGGCAGGAGGGTGTTCACAAGGGTGTTCCCTTGGAGTGTGAGGGGGGCACCACACACACAGAGGGGCAGAAATGGAACCCCAAAACAAGACAGCAAAGGCATGACAAATAGCAATTATTAACATGACTGCACGTCACCCCACTCGGAAGGTCAAATCCTCTTCTCAACAGAGTCTAGAGGCTTCGCTCAAAGCCAAGACAGAAAGTGTGTAAAGGCTATGACCCAAGAGTTTTGAACTCCCAGGGAGGAGACACCTGCCATCAGGGTCTTTCGTGGAAAGATGAGTAACTTGAGAGACTTCCCCACACATTTTATTCTGAAATCTCAATGGACACAGTCTGGTGGTTAACATGCATTTTATAAGAGAAGTATTGTCTCGACTGAGTATGTTATGATCCATCAGGTATGTTTGGAGACAGAGTGCTACTGCAGAGAAGACGCTTGAGGGAGGAGCATCCCCCCAGCTCATTTTCGAAGGGTGGGTGAGCAGCCGTGAGGCCCCAGTGTTTACAGCACAGAAGCTGCCGGAGAATAAAGTTTACAAATATTGCCATGCTTTACTTTACCTAATGTAGAAAGTGACATAATCCCAGACATACCAGAAAGTGGAGATAAAGACCTGGTACAGGACATCCACAAACAACCTTGTGAACCCCTAAAAATAAACACAACAGCAGCAAGTGTCTTTAAAATTATAAAACATAATAGACGAAAAATAGTTCTTCAAAAATAATTCACGTTACAAAACCACACTCTCAAGGTTCTGTAATCAGATCAGAACACCTTATAAATGAACATCAAGTACATGTTCAATCATAGATTCAGATTTGTTAGGAAACGTCCATCTCTGGGAGATTCATGTCAAGTGTAATTTCTGCTTGACCTTTGAGCAGAAACATGAATGTCTCTCAGAGGAAGTTGCCCCATCAGGAATGGGGAGGGGTGGCAACAACAGAGCTGTCTCCCCTCCCTCCACAAGGACAGGCCTCAGTGGAGACACACGCAGGCTGTGGGAACCGAGCCAGGACTGGTGTCGCGTGACCCTGTGCTCCCGAGGACAGACCCCTTGCCACTGCTTGACTTCATGAAAAT